ATGTTTTGTTTAGATGTAGTGTAATAAAGTCAGAAGTTTCACAGAAGGAGCTGTGCTACACAAAAACATAACAGAAAAACGCACAAAAAAAGGTATTTAAATTAAGCCATTTTATGTAGTCTTTTATGAAGGAAAAGAAAACTGCATCAGAGAGAACACAGAAAGGGGAGATGTGAAATCTTCATGTAAAAAAGCGATATGGTCTGTTAAAGTTTTATATGATGCAGAGATGATGTGATAGCCTCCATTGCAGTTGATATTTTGGACATATGTCCTCCGATTTTGGCCAAAATCGACTGCTGTCTGCTGAAGTGAATATGGTTTTTTTAAAAGAACCATCTTCTGATCTTTTCAAAAGAATCCAACAATGAAAGCAACAAGTGTTTAAAAAAATAAAAAAAATGTGACAGGAACCAAGAATAAAAACATTTAGCCAACTTTAAGTCTCATTAAATCTTCAAGGGCTAGCTTCCAGGAAAGGCATGCCATCTGAAACCATGACCTCTGATCCTGAACTCAGAAAGACTCCATAATAAAGTTTGTGAGCAGTAACTGACCTGGCCCACTGTGTCCACCTGCTCTTCTCATTTCAGGGAAAAGAACCAAACCACAGGTGTTATAAAAGCAGAGAATCTTTTTAGAGCAGTTTAAGGTTTTACAGGTGTCTGTAAAGAATGGAAGCTGAGTGAAACACTCAGCATCTATAATTTATAGTATGGCAATTAAAGAATCAGAGTGGGTGGACAGAAAATAAGTTGAAATGAGCTCAGCTCTGCTTGAGATCTGAATTATACTGTGTGCTCCATTAAACATGCACAGCAGTGTCTTGTTCTCTCTGGACAGAAGAAATGAGAAGAATAGTTTCTGTAAGGCCAATGTTATAAAAAGGGTTGCATCAACTATTGTGTCCAAGTAACACTAAAACTTTGTGGACACAGATTGTGAACTCCACCCACTGGTTGTGTAAGATATGCCAACTTCTCACATCTATTGACTTAACTATTAGACCTGTGTCTGTTGGTGATACACTGATATGAAATGGTGTATTGCCACTTGGGTGGTCTCCTGAGATAGCTGGAACTGGACCACAGGCTGGCCACAGCATGTCAGCCATAAGTGATGTGAAGGAATATTACTTGGGTTCGACATGGCTTATTTTAAGTGATATTCTGATTTAGTGACATTTAGTCATTGTACACCATGTTTGCCAACAGGACAAGAGAGGCTGTTTTTTAACGCCAGCCCTACAATTTGACTGATCCATTTGGTCTTCTTTCCAGATTCTAAATGATGTCAGGAATAACTGTGTGAAAAGACACCAATTACTGAACAAGATTTCTTCACCCATTGGTGATTCATCTTTCAGGCTAATATCCATCTTCACTAGCTTTGTTGCTCATCCAAGCCTATCCCAGCATGCAGCTGGCAAAAGGAAAGTAAGTTCACTGAGAAAAAAAAATGGAAAGAAGTGCTGCAAAGTGAGCAGAACAGAACAGTTACAGTGATGTGACCTGGAACAGGGACTACAATACCACAGCACAATGTAATAATGATGTTCAAGAAGGAAATGTTGACCAGAGGACATTAAAAACTATAGGTGGCAGTAATGCAACTCATATGCAGAAGTGCCATTAAAGCCCAAAGAAACATAAATGTTGAGTGGAGGGGGAGGGATAGGATTAGTTCACAGGAGCTGCAACTGACCATAGGTTATACATCTCTTCATCACAATCATCTTAATTACGGACCTGGTAGTGTAAGACTATTTATAGCTTCCCCTACAGGGTAACATTAAATTTCTGCATTCTGCAAGGATTACATTATACACAGCAAGATAAATATTGAAGATCGTAAGTTCTGCACTAAAGCCATATAAGTGAAATTTTCTCAGCTTTGCA